TTTGCCCCGACCTAGAAATTCCTTTGATAAAGAAGAACTGGTGCTAAGTGTCATGCGGGATGAATATGCATGAACTGATTGTGAAACTGTATGCAGATGCATTTGGAAGGGGGATAAAAGGAGGTCTGAAATTTTCAGGGGTACGCATGCCCTTTTGGGGAGGCTTGTGTCCGGGGCGAGTCGTAATAAAAGCATATCGGGCTTTACAACTTTTACAAGTTGTGAGGTTTCTTCTTTTCTCCGCAAAACACTTCTGTGCAATTACAGCAGCCAGTTTGGCCCTGCTCTAACTCCTCCCAGTTCAGTCCTAATGGATAAAAATATGAATTGTTGTAGATAATAAATTAAAGTGGATTTTTTTTACCCCAGTATTTCTGAAGATGATGCCTTTTACAGGTCTTTATGGTGCATCTGCTTTTTGCTTATGATGTGGTTCCATAATTCACTTTATCACTTTATTAGTACTGGCAATGGGACATTCTTCTAGAAAATCTGCATTTGGTTTTGGAACACAATGGCAGAGCAGCTCTGGGCTTTTAAAGACTTTATAGTCACCAGCCTCAGGAACTGCTCCTGCCGCTTCTGCAGGACACAGGAACTGCAATGAGAGGGGAGGTGGGTGTCTTATGTGTGTGATGTCCCTCATGGCTCATAAAGAAAATGTGGTCTATCTTTTTACTCCACAGCCTTGAGATCAGAGCTAACTGTGGCTGCTGCTGTCTTAGTGCTGTTGGTGATTGTGATAATTTCACTGATTGTCCTGGTCATCATATGGAAACAGGTATGTAGAGAAGTATTTCAATTTGGGTGCTGAGCCCTGCTGGGTTTTGATCTGCTCTAAAGCCAGGTCCAGGACTAATGCTTGGTTTTGCATTCAATGTGCTCTGCAGAAGCCCAGGTATGAGATCAGATGGAGAGTCATTGAGTCCATCAGCCCTGATGGCCACGAGTACATTTATGTGGACCCAATGCAACTGCCTTATGACTCCAGATGGGAGTTTCCTCGAGATGGGTTAGTGCTTGGTAAGTTTTCTGTGAGGGGCTGGCCCTACCCTTCTTTGGGGAGAAAGACATTCTGTGACCATTCTGAGGTGTCTGCAGGATTTGCAATGGAAATTATGGCCACCAAGTTCAGAGTCTCTGTCCGCCTGTTGTCATCAGTTCTCCTTCCTGATCCACTTCTACAGTGGCATCAGCCCCGAGGTCCTTCTGTTAGTATCTCCTGTGCCTGCGTTCCTGTTCTCTTCCTGTGTGCAGCATCCACCCCTACGTGGCTTAGGGGAGTCTCTCAGTGTTAAATATCCTTTTCAACCCTCATTTCTGCTAAGGCATCCATAAGAAGGACATAATTATTTTTTGAAAGACATTTATATACTTATGTGCAGAGACCAAGAAAATCTGCAACAAGTTATGTAGTTTTATTAAAAATATTTTTTAAATTATTAATTCATGTCATGCACGTATCAGTGCTGAGTAACCACATATTTTCTTCTTCCTTCCCCTTCTGCTTTCTTGATATTCCTCATTGGAATTCACGCACATTTCAGTCGTAATTATTTCCTCAGGGCTGGCCCAACCTCTCTTTTATATCAATGGAAAGTGTAATGACTATAGAAAATTTTAATGCTTTATCAAGATAGTGCTTTAAACATACAAGGCTTCCCTCTCTTGGAGATATGTGTGAACCAAATTGCATTGCAAAACACAGGAGAAGTTGAAATGTGTCTTTTGTTTGATATAGTTCAAGAAACATACTCCCCTGGTGTGTTTCTTCACCGTCACAGAGAAAGAGTTAATTCTTGAAAGAAGCAAGAGAAAAATTTCCAGTTCAGGAACAATATCCTTTAATTAAATTCATGTTGCTAATTGAAGACTAGAGGAGGGTGAATGTTTTATGGAATTATTTTATTACAACCCAGACTTTAATTATATGCCTAAATAGGATTTGTCAGATCTGAGTTGTTAAAGACCACCACTGTGACTTTGTCTCCCTCTGAGTCATGAGCACAGCCTGCTTCAAAGCCTTCTTGTTTACAAGTGTATTCAGAATAGTCAGTAACTTTCAAACCCAGTGCTCCATATCCTCCTGTCAATCTGGGTTGCAGAAGTGCTCTTCTTGGCACACTCATCTGCTGGCACTTTTGAGGTATTAAATGCTTGCTGGTGAGGGGGGACCCTCTTTTGTTTCTAGGGATGACAGTTCTGATTTGTATGGATTTTCTCTTATCTAAGTGGGAGATGACAGCAAAGCAATTACACCTTTAGTTCAGGGAGGCTCTGAAGCAGGTCACAAACCCATTTTGGCTCTGCCAAGATGAGTATTTTCCATCCTAGCTGTGTAAGCCAGCTGGCATTTATTTGTTTTTTCTCGCCAGTAGTGCCTGGAGTGCGTGGTGTGTTAAAGGCTAACTCTGAGCATTGGCTAGATGGAACTTCAATTGATAAATTTGGGTTACACTGCAAATTTTCCTTTGCAATCTCTGATCCACAGTGTATGCAGTGAACTGCTCTTTAAAGGGCTCCTGAACCAGTGCAAGTCCAGGAGATGTGTACCAGAAGGAACAATGCAGTAATTCCATGAGCTGTTTGAACACCATGGCCTTCTCCTGGCTCTGCTGAGAACTGGTGAGGTCCCAGCAGGACCAGGACCTCCTCATCTGGCTGACAGAGCTGAGAGCAGCTCCTCTTGAGGCATGGGGTCAGAGTGTTGCTGCTCAGGATACCAGGGTGGCTGGACAGAGACAGCAGAATTGCTCTCATCACTTCCCAGCAAGCCACTTATTTGTCCTGGTGACCTTAATTAAATGAAATGCTGGTCTGACACAGAATCTGACCCATGCCTATTTGAAAAAGGCAAGTTAAGATTCAGGTCACACAACAGTCAGAGATGTGATATCTAATTTAATGAGTCTAGAAACTGGGTGTAGATTATAAAGCTTGACACTTGTTTGGCTTTTAATATAGCCCAAGAGACTTATGGTTTCATTTGGGGTGGGTTGATTATCCCAGGCCAATTTTAGAAAAAGAAGCATCCAGCTGAGATGGCTGCATCTGGAACAGATTCACACACCCCACCCTTGTATTCTCTGAGCAGAAAAGCAGTACCTCTCTGGCAGGCACAGCAGATAAGCTCTGTGGATGGGTACAGAGGCTGAATTAGCTGCTGTTCCTCCACTAGTCTGAGGAATGTTGAGCTGCTGCTGTGTCTGCACAGTCCCTCTGTGGTGGTGAAGCAGCGCTGCTCCTCCAGTGAGCAGATCACAGCTGTGCCTTTATGCTGAAGAGTAAACTCTCACTGTAATTTTGAGCCTCAGTGAAGCACTCACCAAGAATATGATGGCATTAGAGATGCTTCCAGTTCTTGGGCAGTTAGCTCCCACCTGGCTCCCAATTTCAAATGCAAAAGACGTGGGGCTTGGGCTACATCTGCAGAGAGGGTTGGAAAGGGGAAATAGCAGTGGTGGCTCCCTGCCATTCCGGAAGTGCTCTCACTGCCTCCACATGCACCCCAGCCCAGCAGAGGTGATGGAGAGGGAGATGTGTGCCTCGTGCTCAGCTGACAATATGGTTTTGGGGAGGAATTGGCTTGTGAAGACAAGAAGATCAAGGAGCATCAGCAGATTCCATCACATTCTGAAGGGCTGCATCCTGCCATATGGCTCCCAGACCTTCAGCCTGAAAAGTTTCAGGGGCCAAATTTCAAACTCAGGTTGTTTGAATTAGTCTAAAATTTAGTGTGAAGCTTTCTCACATCCTGATTGGGAAGGATAACCTTTGGAGCACAGGAATCTTGAAAAGAAATCACATAGCTTCTGTGTGCATGACAAACTATGCTGTCATAATCTTGGAGAGGTTCACCAGTGTTAACTCAGCTAAGCATTCTTTAACCATTTCTTGTGCTTTTTAATAATGTAGATATTGTTTGGCTGGAAATTTTCTTTTGAAAGCATGTGCACAATAAAAGTGGGGGCAGTAGCTGGAGGATAACAGAAACATATGGCATTGCATGCCAGATAACACCTTCAGAAGTGTAAAAGGTGACAAGTTCAAACTGCAAACGAACGTCAAAGACAAAATGCTGTGTATCTCCATAGTAAAAGTTACTACTCATTCTTTCTGTGCTTCAAGTTAAAAACTAACATAAAACCAAAGTGACAGCTTGTCAGGTATGTGATTATATTGTGGCATCTGGACCTCATACACCAGTTCGTTCACTAAGTGTTCCCTTGATGAACTTGGTTTTCAATGCAGGAGCTATGAAATACAGCATTTTGGAGTATGTTCATGCAGTTCATATTTCTCTAAAATCTCAATCTGTACAAAATTATTCAGGAGACTGTATCCATATTAGAAGACAGGATATATTAATCCCAAATTTTTGTCTAAATTGATTTGTGGCAAGAGTAAAGGGTCTATAAACATTAACTGTTTCATTACAGCACTTGGAAATTTGCAATACAATTTATTCCAGCAGATGAAACACACTTGTACATTAGACTTCAGAGAAATTTCCCCTCATATGTGATCAACATGTATTTCAGCTTCTTGCAGATCTGAAATGATGCTGCCTGTCTGAATGGGCTGTTCATGTGCTTTAGTCCATTTTACTGCTGGATGTATCCAGCATTATATAAAAGAGCAAAACTACAGCTGAGGGACCCAATTAAGATCTGTAAGTCAGGAACACACCTGTATTTTAATCAGGTGTTGACTGAGGCAAAGAGGTCAGCTTAAGCCTAGGACAATCCATGTTGTGAGAGGATAAAGTGAAGATGGCAGAGCACAGGAAGGGATGAATTTGAATGAGCTAAGCTTACAGGTGTGCTCTTGATGTTTGCTGGCATCTTATTAAGAATTGTATTTAATGATAGCACTACATATCTTCTTTTTCTGTTTAAAAACAACAATAATAGCAATAATACTGGTGGTCTGGCTAAGGGAATGTGCCCTTTCCACACAAGAATCAACTTGTAGAGGAATGGAGATAGGAAAGGAGCTGAATTGCTGTTACTTTCTGAAATGAATAATGCTCTCCCTTGTGTTCAGGTCGGATCCTTGGTTCGGGTGCATTTGGAAAAGTGGTTGAAGGGACTGCATATGGATTGAGTCGCTCCCAACCGGTGATGAAAGTAGCTGTGAAAATGCTGAAACGTAAGTTGTCATGGTTCCATTTTCCAAGCCAGGCAGGGCAGGTTCCCACAGGGTTATTCAAACGTTGCTTGTTATAATTCTTTGTATCTGAAGTTGAAAATGAATGGTGAAATGGTGGGATTTTCAAATTATATGTTAGATTGCTTGATGGCATTTCAAGCCTGAAGGTACCCAGGCTTTTGAAAGCATCCAAAGTTTAGGTTTAGCTGAACAGCTACAATAACTCAACAAATACTGAGAAAGATAAAGTAACTATGAGTGCTTGCGAACAAATGAGGGCTGTACAACAAGGGGAAATAGGCAGGTCTTGTATAAATTCACTGAAGATTTCCTGCTTCATGAGAACTGAGAATCTGATGCAGTGATTCTCTAGGAGCCATGGAGAGCTTGCTTGTGTTGAATGAGCAGCTTGTAGAGTGCTTCTGTGCCATGTGGCAATCCACTGGCCTCTGGAGAGGGACAGACAGACTCAGCCAGCTACTGAGCTGCATCAAGAGAGTCCCTCATTAATCATTTCAGGTTCCTCTCCAAGTCTTAAGAAAAACATGTATCAAGTAAGGGACGTGGTGGCAGCACTGCTTCAATGAGGCAAGCAAGGAGAATTTTTTGTAAATATGAAAAAGGTGACTGCTCCCACCAGGTGGCTAATGTGTTTTTTCTCTACAGCTACTGCTAGATCCAGTGAAAAACAGGCACTCATGTCTGAATTGAAGATAATGACACATCTTGGCCCCCACCTGAATATTGTGAATCTGCTTGGAGCTTGTACAAAATCAGGTGAGTTTGGCTGACAAAATAAAGGTTTGCTGTGGGATCATCATTCAGTATCTAAAAAGCACATTGATGCCTAAAGATTTTCAGCTTTTCATCTAATCTTCATGTATTTGTAGCTTTGTAGACTGTTAAATGCCTAGGTATAACTTCTAGTACTTTTCCAGCTTTCTTCCCACAATGAACAAATGTTCATTGATGCATTCCTTAATTTTATCTAGTCTTGCCAGTTAATTTACTGAGGACCTTTTATTTTGCACCATGTAATCATAGACACAAGAAAGATAGGGTAGGAGACTGGGGGCAGAGCTCCAGTGGGGCAGAACACAGGGTGGAGGTCACCTAACCAACTGCTCCTCAAATTGGACAATATTGGCTAGATATTCTAATTGCCCTATTTTATAAAACTGTACAAATTTAATTCTGAGCTTTTTTTTTTTTTTTTTTTTTTGCCATACTGCATATCTGAAGGTTTTTATATTATCATTCTTAAGTTATTTGGAAAAGTTTGTTTTCTATTTTCAGGCATCAACACAGGTTTCAAGTAGAGGACTTACCAATAAATATAACCAAATATAGGTTTTCAGAAAACCTCTTGATATTTGGTAATACTTGCAGTCACAACTTAGTAGATAGAAATGCATTAACTTACAACTCTATTTTCTAATACTTTTGGAGGCTTTTTGTATTTGTTTCTGTTTTTCAAAACCCCCACTCATCAATGCATAATTTTGCTTTAACAGGTCCTATTTACATCATTACTGAATACTGTTTTTATGGCGATCTGGTGAACTACCTGCATAAGAATAGGGACAATTTCCTGAACCGACACCCCGAAAAGCCCAAAAAAGACTTGGATATCTTTGGGATGAACCCCGCTGATGAAAGCACAAGAAGGTGGGAAAAAAATGAAAAAAAGAAATCAGTGACCTGTAACTTAAGGACTTAAGCCATTATAAACCCTTATTGCATTACTCTCATTCATTGGTTTAAACTCCTCCTCAATTTTTCTCGTTAGACTTTTATTTGTCACATTTCATAGGTCTGGGAAGGTTTCAACAGTTTTTATTCAATCTCCCTGACATGTCCTAGATCTGTGTTTCCTGCATGTAGACATTCCTGCAGTCTGAGGACCCCTATGGTTTCTCCATAGATACCCCAGTGCACCTACCTGTCTCCTTGTTTCCATGCTTGGGGAATTTCCAGTGTCTAAAACTCCTTCCCTTCAAGCAACCTGGTAGGGCTTGTTCTCCAAACTCAAGTTCTCTCCTTTATCTACCAATTATAGCCAGTATCAAAAGTGTCCTAATTGCTAATGTTGATCCCAGAACTTTTTCCAGATGATGGTTGAGGAAGCTTGTCATCATATATTCAGCAATAATATAATACCATAAAATAAGCCAGGATTTAAAAGGAGGACAGAGATTAATTCAAAAAATCACTCAGAGAAGTAGATCAACTGCCTTGGTAGCTGAGTAAAGCCAGTGCCATTCATCTGGGCATGGGTTTGTTTGGCAGGACTGGATTTAATGCAAATTGTGTGAATAAATTACACCAATCATTTGGAATACCTTGAGCTAAAAGCCCTAGGTAATGATACTTGAGTTCAGTGGGATTTTGGGAAATAAGGCATGGTTACATACCTGAGTGCTGGCAAAAGCCAAAGCTTGTGTTTGACTACAGTAATACACAGTAACATGTATTAATAAGTGATGGTTATGTAATACATATGATATCTGGTAATGATCTTTATATATGTATATTTCCTAACAAGAAGGCAGCTGTTGAATTTCACCTCAATACAATGGTACACATTAAATGAATGGTTAGATATGCACATGCTCTGACAGGGAAGTCACTACATGATACACTTGTGTTTTTTTCCAATTTCAGTTATGTGATACTATCGTTTGAAAACACTGGAGAATACATGGACATGAAACAAGCTGATACCACTCAGTATGTGCCAATGCTGGAAAGGAAGGAGGGCTCTAAATACTCTGATATTCAGAGATCTGTGTATGATCGGCCTGCTTCCTATAAGAAGAAATCCATGTCAGGTAATGTAACTGTCCCTTCTGCATATATCATTGGTATAAATCACTCTTGTGTAAACAGGTATCTGATTTTTGTCCTCTAAATGCACACAAACTGTTTAGCTCTGTTCAGCAAGAGTGTGAGCATAAGCTGTAAGCTAAAACCTTGTGGTTGTGTTCTTCCATCCCGCTCTGGGGGTAGGAGTGCGTGTTGCTGGGGCAGAAGGGGTCCCACTGTGTGTCTGTTTCTGTGCTGAAGCACTGGGCACTTGTGCTCAGCAGTGGAGCTGTAGGCACTCTTTGGAGGCAGAGATTTTATCAGTCCTGTAGTTTGAAAGACTTTGAGCATTAGCAACGACCAATGCTAATGGTAGTTTTTATTGTACTGTTTCCACTTACATTTCACATTAACTGACACTTAGCAAATGCAGAACACTCCCAAATGTTTTCCTGGATTATGTAATGAAAATAATGAATGCATCCTATTCCCCGTCCCTGTTCTCAGAACCCAAATATGCTTTTGTTTAAAAACAGACTCCGCCACCTCTGCCTCCAGGCCTCAGAAATGGAGCCACATCCAGCCCCAGATTTACATGGCAGACTTATGCACTCATGCTCTAGGACAGTCAGGGAAAATGAATCACTGAATTTTGACTGGATTTTTTCCGGCATTTTTCATAAAATAAATAAGAACTGTTGCCATGAATTCCTGACCCTTTTTGCTGGTATTGGATTAGTCCCAGCGAATACTTCCTGGGAAACAACTGTGCTCAGCAAAAGTAAATGGATAAGAATGTACATGCGTGCACAAACCATAATGAAGACATCACCTCTAAATAAATATTTTTGTACCACACAATGAGTAAACAACCTGTGTGACAGCCCAGTAATGTCCAGCAACAATTCTTTCTCGCTTTACTTTTTCCTGCTGTTCACAGGGGAAAAAAATTACAGACAGGAAAAAATTCCAACCTGCTTTTTAATACTGGCTGTTTTTAAAAATGCAGTATGTGTCAGTGACTGATGCAGACAGTAACAATAGTTACTATGAAAAGGCTGTTTTGGTCATGGTACTCTGCTAAAATTACCAGCTCGGAATCATGACAGGTAGGGGAAGATGGATTCTACTTTCACACTCCACAGCAAAACCACGTCTTTTTTCTTTTTTGATAGAATCAGAAGTCAAAAACCTTCTTTCAGATGACAGTTCAGAGGGCCTCAGCCTATTGGATTTGCTAAGCTTCACCTACCAGGTTGCACGGGGAATGGAATTCTTGGCTTCTAAAAATGTAAGTAAATAAAAAAGTACGCAAAAATGGAATAAGGTGTAAAAATGTCTTCTGCAGTTATGGTTTTAAATTTAGATTTTGAGCATGTGACACAATATAGTATTATTTTTGGAGATATAGACAGCTTTCTCACTTACCTGGAAATGGAGATCACCATGGTGGGAAAAAATCAAAGCAGCAGTCACTTGTCTTCCCCTGCTTCATCCTGTGACATTGCTGGAGTCAGGGTACCAGAGATGGTGGAGGGTCAAAGCAGGGTCTGGGTGAAGGGTCCATGCAGTCACAAATCAGCATGGTGAGAAGCACAGGCATATCATTAGTACATGATGGGAAAGGGTGATCTCACTTTTGCCTCCTCCCCCCTAAAATGCATCTGTGTGAGATCTTGCTGGTCCTGAGGCCTGGTGCCTCCCTGCCACTGTCAGCAGGTGCTTGTTCAGTAGAAGGCCTTGTTAGGACTGCACCTAGAAAGCCAACCCTTTTGTAAGGCAGTGGCCCTCATGGAAAAAGCATGTCCTTGAACAACTCCATTTTTCTCCACGCAGTGTGTGCACCGTGACTTGGCTGCTCGTAATGTCCTCCTGGCTCAAGGAAAAATTGTGAAGATCTGTGACTTTGGGCTGGCTAGAGACATCATGCATGATTCCAACTATGTCTCCAAGGGCAGTGTATGTACTTAATCTCGGGAGCTCTGCTTTAACTGAAATGAAAATTGTCAGTTTTAAATGCTATTTCATGTTTTTGCCATTTTGTGTTAGATATAGTAATTGACCACTGGGATGAATGTGCCTCAGAATAATTTATCTTCAGATCATGAATTCCTGTAACTTTTCTAACTCTGTTTTAAAGTGAAAAAGTACACATTCAGTACTTCACTTCAGTCTGACATTTTTAACTGGCAAGTTTTGTGACTAGATAAATTATTAAGGAACTGTCAACAATGACATATCAGACCTTGTTCATCAGTGCCAGATTTTGCATCATACCTTCAATCATTTACTACCTGGTCATTTGCCAGTAATGAAATGAATACAGCTATGGTTTAACTAGTTTTTGTGGGGAGCAACAAGTAGCATTGCTTATAATCCTGGTACCTCTGTATTAAATTTTATTTAAAATAAACACTAGCAAGGTTAACATAACTTTTCTGATAGAGAGATGTTATTCCTGGCTATCAAACAAGAATTGCAATAGTAATAATTTATTTAATGACTAATCTGTGTGTTTGGGCTTTCTTTCTTTTTATTACAGACTTTCCTCCCAGTAAAATGGATGGCACCTGAAAGTATTTTTGACAACCTGTACACAACATTAAGTGATGTCTGGTCTTATGGCATTCTGCTGTGGGAAATATTTTCTCTTGGTATGTACTGTGAATATTTTCCTATGTGTAGTGATCAAGTTTTTTCAATTCAAACTGTTCTACATGAAGTATTTCAAATTCTGCATATAAAATATATATGCATGAAATCCACTGTTAGATGTTCTTCTGTATGGGATTTCAGATTCCAGTGTTAGGTGTGAAGTGAAATGTCCATACTCTCCCCAAGTTCTCTTTAGTTTTGGTATGGATTTTTTTTTGTTCCTTTGTTTGAGGGTTTTGCTTTTTTGGTTTTCTTTGTTTGTTTTTGAGACATACATTTTTTTTTCTGTAAAACTAAAAGAACTGTGTGAAAATCTTTTGTGGAAAAGTATTGGTGTGCCACAACAGGATTGATTTTCTGTCTAATATGAGAAGGAACATGTTTCTCCCTTGCAATGGGGTGCCTGGGGCTGCAGCCAGCTCAGCAGCTGCTTTGGAACAGTCTCTATACACGTTTCAAAAGAGCCTGTCTTAGTCCCATTACAGAATGAAAATAAATGTCAATCTTCTGGGACACTGATTTCTTATTTCCAGGTCAACACTGCTCACACAGTTGGTTTATGGCAGCGTAAAGTGGTTATGACAATATATAGCAGTTCCAGACAATGTGCAGCTCCCAGCTGGGAGCAGCCTGGCTCTCTCCTCAGCCTCATTAGTTAATTAATTAGCCTCCTGGACGGGTGGATGGCCCGCTGCAGCGAGCCTGCATTGCCCAGATTTACTGCCAGCAGAATTACTCATGCCTCTGTGGTGTCTACTGCTGCCCCACGGCAGCCCCAAGCCTAATGTTATTTGCTAGAACAAGTTGTCACATAACTGCTTCTCAGAAAACAACAGTTGCACCACTATTTATGGTATTGATTCCTGTAATCTCTGGGCATCACAAGCTCCTGTAAATAGCCATTCCCTGATATCCCTGGGACACATTGGACAGCTCAGGAACTGAAGCACTAAACTTCACTGCTCTAGCTGTAAAGAAGGTTCTGAAGCTCATTTTTAGGTGAAAACCCTGCTTTTGAAAGGGCAGAGGTTTCTGAAGTAATATTATAGTATGCCTCCTCCATCTGAGAAAATTGTTCCTTTCTGGAAAGCAAAACATATCCTCAGCAGTGTTTGTTAAAAACACTTGATACCATGTTGACTTCAGCTTGAATTACTCTTTTACACATCAGCAACAACTGAGCATGAGGGCAATGATGTCTCTGTGCTGCAGCCCCAAATTATCAGTTAACTGTGGTAGCTTGGGTCAAGCCCAAACTTTTTGACAACCCATGCCAGAGCAGGCTGATTACCTGATCCAGGTATTATCCAATCTCTGTCCCCAGTACATTCTATAAACACTGCAAAGGTATTTTTTTCTAACTAGCATCTACTTCAAACTTTCCTAGCCAGTGTTTCACATTAGGGCTTAACGTAGCTATTGTCACCAAGACAACAGCTCTGATGTGAAACACTGGCTAGGAAAGAATCATTCTGATGTCATGTTAAATTGTAGTGCTGACATTAACAAGAAGATAGTATTTGGGAACTCTGCATGGAAATTTAAGTATAGAGTAGTACTTTTGCTTCTCTTCTTTCTGCAGGTGGCACACCTTATCCTGGCATGATGGTTGATTCTACTTTCTACAATAAGATCAAGAGTGGATACCGAATGGCCAAACCTGATCATGCCACCAATGAAGTGTATGTGTGCATTTGGCTTTTCCACACCTGCCCAGTCTCCAGAGAATTCTGGCTTCAGTTTCTGTTTGATCAGTTATGTTCCTCTACCAGCTGGTTAAATTGGTTTTCTTCTTATCTGCAGGTATGAGATTATGGTGAAGTGCTGGAACAGTGAACCAGAGAAAAGACCTTCTTTCTACCATTTGAGTGAAATTGTGGAGAGCTTGCTGCCTGGAGAGTACAAAAAGGTTTGTAATTTTCTCTGTGTTTTCTGTATACTGCTTCAGAGGGAATTACAAGCATTGTTCCAGCCATGAGAGCCATGAGCACTGAACTGGCACATTCTAAGCTATGTGAATTATGTGATTAGCATGGGAACATTGCATGTTTGGTTTCCTCAGTCAAACTGGCTGAGAGAAGCAGTTCTGCAGTATTAACTGGGAAACAGAACCCTTTATGTCTAATTAAATCCTAACAACTCAATTTTTCTACTGGAGAACTAGTTCTGTATATTTTCATGGGATTTTGTAGGCTGTGAAATAATTGTATAAAAGGGACTTCTTGGCCCATGAGTGTAATCTCCCTGTCTCTTCTTCAGATCCTGACACCAGCAAGTTTTCCCCTCACATTTCTGATAGCTCTGAACAAGTTGTGCCTTCCCCATCATTCAGTGTTTCATTTTTCTGACCTACCTTAACTCCCTTTTCCTTACCCTTCTTTCACATCTACATGTCTGCTTTGTGCTGCCACAAAGCTTTGCTCCTGCATCATCTAAAACTTACATATCACTTCTCCCTTCAAAGCAATTGAACATTCTGGACTTCTCTATCCAGTACTGCTGGCTCATAGGGCAGAATATTTGCTAGGCTAATGAATCACAGCTGCCCATCTGAAGAAAGGCAGCCTTAGTGAATAGCATCTAATGAAGGGTTGAAATTAATATTTTCAGAGCTATGAGAAGATTCATCTGGACTTCCTGAAAAGTGATCACCCAGCTGTCACACGCATGAGAGGGGACTCTGACAATGCTTACATTGGTGTAACTTACAAGAATGAAGACAAGCTAAAGGACAGGGAGAGTGGATTTGACGAGCAGAGGCTGAGTGCTGACAGTGGATACATCATTCCCCTGCCTGACATTGACCCTGTTTCTGAAGATGAGCTTGGCAAAAGGAACAGACACAGGTAGGTGCAGTTTACAGATCCCTTAGCCCATAGTCACCACTTGGGGTCATGTTCGACAATGTCCATTTCCCCTTTCCAGCACAGTACTCTGCAAATGGTTTCCTTAGCTCTGTTCAAACTACTTACCGGGGAAGTTGCATATAAATATGGTAGTATGACTGCCCACAGTGTTTCCAATGGGAAAAAGTTAACTTTGCCTGTTTTGTGGTGTTCAGGGTAAGGTGTCTGCTAGTAGGGGTCTTACGTGTGTTTTTAGGACTCCTTTAATAACTTGGTCAAGTCATAGGAGCTGTTTTGTGGATCTGTGGGCACATTTTGGAACACATTTTGCCTCCCTGGAGCTTCATATGAGACCTCAAAGGATTGATTTGTTTGTGTGAGACAAATTCTAAATCTAGGAGAAGTTTTTGATAATATCTTCCATGTTCTATGTCTATATATCTCCTAGTTTTCTATGAAAGCAGGGTGCCCAGAACTTTTTACCTCTTTCTTGACAATTTGCATGACCAATGCCACTACAACACAGCACTGCCTGACCCTAATTGTGAATGATGGAAGTTTAATTCAGCCCTTAATTCACAGTGTACAGATTCAGCAACCTAGAAATGCCTTTTTTCATTTTCTTCTTCTTTTTATTTTTTATATTTTTGTGCTTTATTCAATGAGGGAAGAAAGAAGTCCCTAAAAGTACTATCAAAATTAAGACATATTATCTCTGTCTGTTATCCTTATCTTGCTGTTATTGCTATCTTGTTTTCACCTGACCTCCCTAGATTGGACTAAGTGACCTATTGTCACAGTAGTGTCATAAAACTACTTCTCCAACAAGTATCTGGCTGAGAGTGCCAGCATGCTCCTTTGAATTTCAAGGTGGTTCACTACTTTTGATATACAAGGTATGTCATGTCCTAAGAAACTGGTGGTCATAGTCACCTAAGATTGCACTGTGGGTCAGAAAGCATCTGGGGAGGTAGTGTTCAGTTCTGCCAGAGACTGGGGTGTTTACCCAGCTAGAGTCACCACGTACCTTATCTCTGAGATATCTGTCTCTTCCAGTTCACAGACATCTGAAGAAAGTGCCATTGAAACTGGTTCCAGTAGCTCCACCTTCATCAAGAGAGAGGACGAGACCATTGAGGACATTGACATGATGGACGACATTGGCATCGACTCCTCAGACCTGGTGGAGGACAGCTTCCTGTAAGGCACGGCCGCCCGCCAGCTCTGCACACAGGGAACCTTCCCCAGCTCTCCACAGACTTCTGCTCCACACAGAAAACCACTTTATTGCAACGTCAAGGATGTGAAGAGGAGGTGGATTTGTAGAAAGGAACGCCTAGGAATGGGCAGAGGACTCAGCCTGAGTATAAATGAAAGAGACATGTTGAAGATGGATATTTTAGTGTTGCTTCTTGCAGTACTTCAGTAGCATCTCAGTGTTGTTTGCCATTCCAGCTGGTAGGAGGATGAAGAGAAAGGCCACAAACAGACTGGTTTTGTGTTTCAAGGGCATTCATATGACTTTGATGGATCAATTTTCCACTGCAGCAATACTTCACCATTGTAATTATGTAAATAACTGACTACTCAAGGATCTTTTGAGGTGCACATTGAACAAATGCCATGGATTTTAGAAGAGGTCATTCATGAATTCTGTGTACTTCCTCCCTCAATCTCAATGTCAGCTGCTGTTGAACTATCATGTGAATTGAAGAACATGTGAAAACCACTTTTGGACCTAAAAGGTCTAAAACCACAAGGGACTGACCAGTACTATAAAACATGTTACTTTCCACCATTAATGCAAGTAAAGGGGAATAATAATGATAATAATAATAATAATAATGATAATTAAAATTCAGTCTATAATAGATGTTAGAAACCTAGTAAGTCTTTATTAACTATAGAAGGTAGCTGTTTTCAAAATAATACTACTACTGTTTTCAGTAACACTAAATGTATATTTTACAATCCATTGTCCTTCAGTAAAAGCACAATATCAAAACACTTTTTTAAGTTCAGGGGAGAAATTTCCAGCCCCAAAAATTTTATGAATTTTTTTTTTTATCTACACCGAATAGTAATTGTTTTGGTTAGCTAAAACTACTTTAACATGGAGAAAAAATTTAAGATTTTTTTCTTTCATGAGCTGAGTAGCTTTTCTAATCAGATGTACTAGAAGCAATTAGTTTTCCTCTGATTAAGTGGGGTCCTAAAAATTTCAATTAAAAAAAATTATACCAGATTTCTAAGATGCTGGAGAATGGAAGATTATGATAAACCACCAGCAATACCTCATTATTAGTGTTTCATGGTACTCAAAAGAAATCTTATCCTGAGGTTAGCTGTGAAGAATTGATTTGATATTTAAACTGTTCAAGAAACAAAGATATTTCTCCTAGCCTGAAATGCAACTTCAAATAAGCAAAAATAAATATGCAGAAAATATTCTTGTCTTAGTTTTCAAATTTAAACAGGAGCAAAAATCTCGACCATCTTTGCAGACTGTAACTACAAAAGGTAAATGCTTTGAGGAGTGTTTTTTGGAAAAAAGTGCATGAAAATGAATCTGCTCTCAGCCTGCAATTGTTGATTTTTGACACCACTTATATGAACAAAGTATTATGATTACTGCTATCACTGTACAATGTGTTATTGAGATATGACGCTTTGAAAGACTTACATGTGAAAAATATTATATCACTGCCAAGGGCTCAATCCTTTCTGGTACTCAGCTTTCAAACTTTGCCTTAATTCAGTGCAATGAGCACCTCGCAGGATATGCCCAACCTCTGCTACGATCCAACCAATGCAAATGTGGTGCAAACTCATCCCTGTGTTGAAGTATTTTCCTAGGAAGTGTGAAAGAGTGACTGACAGAACATGCTCCCATGTTAAACCACAGTTTACCTTCAAATAGCCCTACAAAAAGCTTCGTAAGTCCCCTTGACTTCACTTGTGGACAGCTACAGATCAAACAAAAGCAAATGCAATTTTGGCAGTGTTACAGTGTGGGACACTGCACAAATCATTCTGGGTCTGAGTTTCAAGCTGTCACCTGGCTGAGGCCATGCACAAGATCACAGCAAATGTGGAAACAGGACCTGAAGCAAGCCCCCCACATTTCAACCCCGATGAAAGCTGACAATCAGGAGGAATGGTGATTGATGGTGCATCCTCTACTTCTTGCATTTGACAGATCAAGAACAAGTGTCTTCCTGGGACCATGCTTTTGCCAAACACTGAGCTCTGTATGGGGACAACTGTGAAACATAGACTCTTGGTACAGCCAGGACAGATGAGATGGTGTGAAATCTCCCTCCAGTTATGAACCATGAATTGAGGAAATGCAAATTGTCTATGGATATCCCAGATACCTGAATGGCCACTCGAGATGACATGTGCCTTAATTTGCATGCGTGGTCTTTACAACTACACATTCAAATTAGGCAAGATTCACCTGCGTTTTTGCACATGGCCTGGTGTTCTTCAGGGTTTGAAAATCAGCCCCAGCATGTTTTATTATGTCAGTTACTGGAATCTAAGGACATTTTCATGCAGCTTTGCCTTCCCCTCACCAGCCTCATTCTGCATCTCACAGTGCATCTCAGGCTAGACTCAGCCAATGAACCAGAGCTGGCTCACTTTCTGGTACATGATAATGTTAATTCCCCATCTTGTCATGAGTATTGTACAGATCAATTGCATCCCTGGCAGGGGTCTAGCCAAACCCAGCTCACTGCAGGCTTGGAATCAGACAAGCTGGCCTGGAAACTGGAATGAGAAGAAGAGGAAGAGAGAGGATTTATTAGAGAGGGAGAAGTGTGAAAGGATGAGAATGAATTGTTTAGTTTCACAATATTATCAGTATTACAGACTTTTTTTTTTTATGGCTTACTTTTTGAGAAGCCACTGGAAGAGGTATTCCCAAACCTTTTGCTACAGTAATTGTATAACGACAATCAGTGTTATCCTACAAAATGCAGCTTTTGATTTGGAATGGCCAACCAATTCCTTACAGCGTGGTCTGCGACTTGTACAAAATGGTCCTATTACATGATGAAGGATGTGAGATATGATGATGTTATACATCAATATGTATATAAGTATTTTTATATAGACTTCTAGAATACTGCCAAAACATTTATGACAGCTATATCACTGCCTTTGTTTATATTTTTTTACTGTGATATATTCCACAGGCACGTTAACTGTTGCACTTTGAATGTCCAAAAGTTATATTTTAGAATAACAAAAAAGGAAGTGTTTCCAAAATGATGGCTGTTGTGAAATGTTTGAAGAAGGGCAAACTGGCCTGAATGATGGTAGGCACAAAATGTATTTCAAAAATGCCCCTGTTGATATTTTGTCTTTGAAAAAACCTTGTAAATGAAGATCTTTATATTTCAATAAATGATATATAATTTAAGGATATGTGAGGGGTCTATACTCACTTATTGAAAGATGGTTATAAAGAATCAGTCTTGCTCAGGGATTTTTTCCCTCAAGAGGTCTTTGAACTGTCTGTGAAGCCATCAATCAGTAAAGACAACCCTATCTCCGAGCCCTTCTAAGGGCACAGTGAGGGAGTGCTGGCAGCAAGTGAGCAGGATACCGAGTGACATCTGTGGGCAGTCATGTTATCTCCCAAAACACAGCAGGTATGGTGTCCCAGCACTGGGTGGGTGAGTGGGTGAGTGGGTGGGCACTGGGCTCCCTGCCCAAGATGAGACCCTTGGCCTTGGCACCATGTGTGCTGGGGTTGGGGCCTGCTGCTCTGCACACACTCAGGAAAGGCCCTGGCTACAGGGTTTTTTCAACTTGTGCTGAACTCACCACCATTGTGAATCACACTAAAGTTTTAGTATGGTTCTGTGCTCCCACAGAATCAATTTTACACAGCATATGTAACTGAATGTGAATTTGAGAAGATTTGCAAGATTTCAACCTGAAATCAGAGTTAAACTTGGCTGCTGCCCTTCCTGCCTGAAAGGCTCTCTTGGTTTTCCAGTGGGAGCCGGGCTAGGCTGGCTGTGGGAATGCCCTGTGAATGGGTAGGTTAGCAACCTTCTGTCCTTGGGGTGGTTCCTGTTCTTGCTGGGAACTTGCTGGGAGATGAACTCTCCATCTAACAAATCCCCCTCCTCACTCAAATGGGGTGCAGCATCCTGGGCCCTGGCCTTGGATACAAGTGACAGTAGGTTGTGTCTCCTTTGTGTGTCCTCGCTGAAAGGAGCCTTTATCCTGAAGCGGGCACAGACACACAGCACTTCCTGCCACCCCAGGGGCACAGGAAAGAGCCCTGGAAGTGCTTGTGCCCTCACATCCTGCTGGGCTGTGCACCTGCTCTTCTGGCAGCTCAGCAGCTGTGTGAGACACAAGGACGGATGGACTAATCAATTCTGCTGTGTGGGGTACCAAAATCCCTCTCTATGCCAGAGCCTGGCTACAGAGCCTCCTCCCAAGCACAAGGCATGGCTGTGTGTGCCTGTGAGCATATCTGTCCATGCTGGGGAGCATGGAGAGTGAGTTTCTCACCTTCTTGCTGAAGCAGACCCATTTTGGGCAAAATTCTAGCTCCTTGCTCCACCAGGCTGGGGGTCCAACATGAGTTCCACGCATCATCTTGCTCCCTGTCTCAAGGCCTCAGCAAGTATTTGGATGGAAATGTGCTGAGGACATGCAATGGCACAAGGCAGAGGCAGTCTGCCCAGGAAACAGGAGCTGAGAGAGAGCAGCACTGTGCCAGGAGCTGAGAAGGGCAGGCTTCTGGCCAGGAGGATGGGAAGAGAATTACTTCAGGTTATGCAGGTAAAAAGATTTTTGGCTAAGTTGTGCTGCTATGAGTGGAAAAAGTAGCAGGTTCACAAGCCAGGAAGAAGTTATCCAGCCCCCTTGAGATGCTCCCCATGGCTCTGGAAACCTGAGGCATGGTGCCTCTGCAACTGTCTCAGCAAGATTGCTGTGTCCCATCAAGTTATTCCCACTGTTAGAGGCTGTGTGGTATGGGAGGTGTGTGCTGGCATAACCCCCAGGAAAAATGAAGTGGAAACAAAAGACTTTGTAGGCTCAAAAACAAAGAAGAGAGAATCCACCTCATGGGTCTGGGCTAGCTCACAAAGGCAGCAGCTGAAGCAGAGTCCATGCTCTGCTGGAGTCCCATCACTGCTGCCTTCAGCAGGGTGAGGCGTAGCACCCATGGGTTTGTCCTCCTGACCCCATCTCCGTCCTGCACCCTTGGCACAGCAGCTCATGTGAGACCAATAAAGAGTGTGTGGCAGAGGAGGCACCAGCTCCTTCCTCTGCTGGCATTGGTGTCAATGCTTTTCAAAGGGAAAACCTAGCTTCCAACCCCAATTCATTCCCATCCAAACAACTGGAGCTAAGGATTAGAACCACCTCTAAAAATTCCAGTGTTTCCATTCATTTGTTAATAATAACTTACCTGAAATAAACCCCCAATTTTTTCTTTTCCATGTTGGCCACAAGATGGAAGCAACAGACAAAAATATGTGAAATTGTTCTTTTCCTCATCCTTTCTCTGTTTTTGCTTGCACAGCAACACAGATGTATTGCCATTGCAGAGGCAGAACAGCTGGAGCTCTCAAAGCAATAGGAGGAACACACAGTGTCCATCAGCTCCACTTTTTGTTTGGAAGAACTTTGAACCTGTTGTGATAACTGTGTTTTTTTACAGGATGAGACTGGCAACTGCCTTGCTATCCCTGATAGTGCTGAAAGGACTATCTGCCTTTGCCTCAAAAACTGTACCTCTTGTGGAGAGAGAGGGAGGGATTTAAAATAAAATATGATTTAAAATGAGGCAAGAAGTGATACCTTGGTTATCCCAATATCACCTGAGATGATGTCTTTCTCTCTGCATTCATTCTTTTGTTGCTTTAGTGCTGTGCTGGTGCTTGATGGGGAGCTAAAAGCACTGCTGAGCTGAGGGCCAGGTTCATGTGTCTTTGTGAGACTCAAAAAAATAGTTGGGACCAGCCTAAGGTACGTACCAAGACCCCCAAAATGTAACCCCTAGAGATCATGGGGGGGTGGAGGTTAGCTCCAGTTTGCAAGTTATTCCCTGCAGCAATCTGATGTATCCACTGTGCTGTACCACCCTGCCATCAGCTCTGCTGGCCTCTGCCACAGGAGCATTGTCTGCTTCAGCATTTCTACATAAAAGTGATCCAGGCTTTGTAAGAAGGGGGATGTAATTTATTAGACCACCTGATAAATCTGAAAAAAAAAAAAGAGAAGAAGCTCACATCAGGTACTCGAGCCCTTGAGGTGGGGCTTGGGTAGTCAAACCTGGGTTGGGTTTTCCAGCTCTACTAATTTGCCTCATAAAAGCCTTCTTTTGCATATTACTGCTGGGTGGCTGAGACAACAGCCCTTGTGTTGCCAGCAGAAGCAGGTGCCAGCTCACACCCAAGTCTGAGAGAGCCATTTAAAGGCAGCTCTAAGCTTTGAAATTGCAGCCACCTTGTCTAAGGAAAGCCAAGCATGTGTGGGTTCCCAGAGACAGCTCTGCAAAAAAGCACATATAGGTGTAGTCGTATTTATACCAAGTGCATTTGTGATCTCGTTGATTGAGTGCTTTTAAAGGTAGAGTTCTGCTTTTTTCACAATCTATTTGACATGCAAAATGATGGGTGCTTTGGTAGGCAAAAATGCTACTATATTGATGTGGGAACAATGTCAATGTTCTAAAGCTAATCTTCAATTACACAAAAAATAGAGTCTACTCTAGTCATTTAACCTGGCATGCTGTATGATACAAACCAGAGGGTTTTCCCAAATTAATTCCCATTTGAATCAGAGCCTGCCATCTAGAAAAAAAAATACGCAGGCTTTTCTCATCTCTGTGAATCCTTGTGTAAATATCAGGTTTTGCAGCTGCTTACATATGAGACAAGTGTTCTTAGTTGAACACTCTGGGCATGCACCAAACCAAGACTTATATTTTCGCACTGTTTGCTCAGAGGAGCTCAGAAACCCTATCATTTCTAGTCTGATGGGCTGGATGAGCAGGGAAGTGGGATTTCATCAGCATATTTTAGTTGGTTTTAGTGTAGTTCCTGGTGTCTGCGTCCAGCAGTCCTGGTTACGTGGGTGCAACACTGATGCTCTGTGTATGAAGTGGGAACTCCTTTGGCTAGAAGGTAGTGGAGGTGGACTGCCCTGAAGGAGAAAAGATGCCTGTAGGGAAAAAAAACCAAAACATAGCACTTCTATTCAGTAAAAACATGCAGGTGAATTTAGTTAAATGTGTTTTCCCACTCTATCACATGACCTTTCCATGCTTCTTTGAGCTGTGTCTCCCTGTTGTTGGCTCAGAGAGATTGCTCAGTGAAGAGCAGGAGGGGTGTCACTGCCAACCCCTCCTGGGCTGGGTCAGAGCTGCTTGCACTTGGCTTTTATGAATGCAAAAGCAGGAATGTTAGAGGACCCTCCATGGCATTTTCAACTAGAGTGCAATGTAGCCACACAGAGGCTTTGACACTGCCTTTGGCTGCAAGTACAGGGGACAGCTGTGGGCAGGTCAGGAGATGCTCTCTCCTGACTGCAAGGCTTGGCACAAACAGTGACACAGTGCTGGGACATGACACAGTCTGTTTTTCCTGCTGTCTTGCTAAGACTGCACCATTTGATCAAGGGTGCATTTGACTTGGCCCTTTTCTCCTGTGCTACCCTTTTCAGCTTCTCCTGGATGAGGGCTGGGAGCTCTGCTGCATCTCTGCTTCACTTCAAACTTGGACAACACCAGCTGCTGCCAAGGGCCAGAACTGGAGGGGTCCAGTGCCACTTTGAGCTGCCATTGCTAATGCATTTCCACGGCTCCTCCCTGGATCCTCGGCTGTTCCCCTGGCAGTGAGAAACCCTGAGAATCAAATACCGTGAAAAAGCGTTGTTGAAAATGTTCAAGAGAAACTGCATTTCAAGAGAAAATGCATTTGAAAATGTCAGCATACTGTAAAAGAAGACGAAAAAAATGGTGAGAATATATGTTGCTTTACTGTCAAAAACTGAGCAGCCTAAACCTGTCCTGAGCTGCCAAAATTAAAAACTTTATTTTTTGGCTTGAATATTTTGGTGTTCAGATTTTTTTCCTGAAAATTCCTTTTTGGCTGTGAACTAAAAAGCAGGCTATTGGGTTTTTTTGACCCAGTTGAAGTCCACTTTTACGTCCTTCCTCCTGAGGTTCCAAATAAATGCTGGGAGGGGATAGAGGATAGAAGACAGAGAACTTTGTCTGCTGGGTTTCTGCTCAAACTGTGGATAAGGGATACCCAGGCATGAAAGATGCATATTTTCCCCTGCTGTGCCCTGTGGTTGTCAGCTCTGAGAGCCAGTGGGAGCCTCCTTTTCCAAGGGGGTCCCCGACACAAGGGCTCAAACGTGCGAGCAGAACACAGTGGCATGTGTATTTG